GAAAAGCAGCTGCTGCTTTCCAGAGGACACGTCTGGCTGCTGTTGTCATACAGTCTGCCTACAGAGGAATGCAAGCCAGGAAAGAGGCTCACGTATTGAGAGCTGCGATAAAAATCCAGTCAAGTTTCCGTGCTTATGTTTTCCGGACGAGATTTAAAAACTTGAAAGATGCAACAGTGAAGATTCAAGCTTTCGTAAAGATGAGGCAAGCACGTAAGCGTTACTGCGCATTAAGGGAAGCAGTGCTTTATGTCCAGCAAAGGTATCGAGCTCGTAGATCCACTCTTCAACTTAAAGAAGATTATAGGAAGTTGAAGGGAGCCTGCGTAAAAATTCAAGCTGTAGTTCGAAGCTATCTTGTCAGGAAGCAAATACAAAGGTGGAGGGAGACGGCAGTATTTCTCCAGGCGTGCTACAGAATGAGAAGGGACAGGCAGCGTTATTTAAGCATCTGTAGTGCTGCCGTTGTCATTCAGAAACATTATCGTGCATACAAAAAGCAGCTGTGTCAGAGGCAGGAGTTCTTGCAAGTGAAAAAAGCAGCTGTGTGCATACAGGCAGCCTACAGGGGTTACAAGGCACGCAAAAACCTTGAACTTCAGTATAGAGCTGCTATTAAAATTCAGACTGCTTTTAGAGCTCATGCTGCAAGGATGAAATATAAGGCAATGGTTCAGGCCTCCCTTGTCATTCAGAGGTGGTACAGAGCTTGTAAGACTGGTAACAGGCAAAGACTGAACTTCTTAATGGCCAGAGCGGCAGTGCTTTCTTTACAGGCAGCTTTTCGTGGCTGGAAGGTACGAAAGCAGATTCAAAGACAACATGTTGCTGCTACTAAGATACAGTCTGCCTTCAGAAAGTTTGTGGCCGTGAAAAAATTCAGACTTAGGAACCATGCTGTGCTAACTATCCAAAAGTATTACAGAGCCAGTGTTCTGGGCCGGAAGCAACGGCAAGAATATCTTCAGCTGCGCAGCTCCATAGTGCGACTTCAGGCAATATGGAGGGGGAGAACCGTGAGAAAAACCATCCAGAAGGAACATCATCTTGCAACAATTATTCAGTCCTATTACAGAATGCATGTAAATCAGCTAAAATATAAGAAACTAAGACAAGCCACTCTAGTGATTCAGAAATACTTCAGAGCTTACTGTATGAGAAAAAAGCAGCGTGCGATTTATTTGAAAACAAAAGCAGCTGTGTTAGTCTTGCAGTCAGCTTACCGTGGCATGACGGTGAGGAAACAACTGAACGAACTGAACAAAGCTGCTACAACTATACAGGCTGCCTTCAGATCTTACCTTGTCAAAAAGGACTACGAAAGACTGAGATCTGCAGCTATAGTAGTTCAGAGGCGTTACCGTGCAATTATTCTTGCTAAATGTCAAAACCAGAAATATTTGTCTTTAAAAAAAGCCACAGTCAAAATGCAGGCAATTTATAGAGGCGTAAGAGTTAGGCGACGAGTTCGCTGCATGCGTCAAGCAGCTGTTTGTATCCAAGCCACGTTTAAGATGCACCGCATGAGCATAAAATACCAGGCGATGAGAATGGCAGCAATTATAATTCAAAGACAGTATAGAGCATTTTGTTTAGGCAAAGCACAACGTAGAAAATACGTGGAACTGAGGAAGTCTATAATTACCCTTCAGGCTGCCTGTAGGGGCATGAAGGTCCGACAAGACTTAAAAACTATGCACCAGTCGGCAGCAATAATACAATCGTCTTATCGAATGCACAAACAGCAGAGGGATTTCAGAAAATTGTTGCTGGCAACTAGGCAAATTCAGCAGTGGTTCCGTGCTTGTAAGGAGCGAAATGCTCAAGTTCACAACTACATGCTTATGAAGAGTGCTACACTTCGTATCCAGGCTGCGTTCCGTGGAATGAAAGCAAGAAGACTTCTAAGAACTATGAATGAGGCAGCTGAGCTGATTCAAAGAAGATTTAGAGCTTTTCTCGAAAGAAAACATTTCCTTTCCATTAAGAGAGCTGCTGTTGTAATTCAGAGACAATACAGAGCCACAAAACTAGCAAAAACGGAGCGCCAAAAATATCTCTCGTTCCTTAATGCTACTGTTACCATACAGTCTGCTTACAGAGGCTCTGTAGTAAGAAAAGAAATGCAGCGGATGCACCAAGCTGCTACAGTTATTCAAGCGATATTAAAAATGCGTAAAGTTTATGTTTGTTATCAAGCTCTCAAGCTTGCTTCAGTAATCATACAGCGACATTACCGTGCTTACAGGGAAGGGAAGCGTGTGAGAGAAACGTACTCAAAACTGTACAATTCTGTTTTAGTCCTTCAGGCTGCCTATAGAGGAATGAGAACAAGGCGCTTCTTGAAGAAAAGACAGGAGGCAGCGCTTACGATACAGAGAAACTATCGAATGTATCGACAGTACGAGCATTACAGAAAAGTTCAGTGGGCAACCCAGCTGATACAGAAGAGGTACAGAGCCAATAACCTAAAGAAAATTGCGGTCCAGCGTTACTCTTCGTTAAGGAAAGCGGCAGTTTGTATTCAGAAGGCTTTTCGAGACACGCAAGCGAAAAAGCGATGTCGAGAGATGCACAGTGCTGCTGCTGTTTTGCAGAAAAATTTCAAAGCTTTTAGAGAGCGCAAAAGATACCTCGCGCTTAAAGCAGCCACTCTTGTCTTTCAGAGAAGATACAGAGCTTTGATTCTGTCCAGACAATGTGCTTTGGAGTACCTTGCTCTTCGCAGAGCAACTATTTGTGTACAGGCTGTGTACAGAGGGGTCAGGGTGCGGAAGAGGATTGAGCACATGTATTTAGCTGCCACTACGATACAGTCGGCCTACAAAATGCACAGGGATAGAAGGTCCTATCAAAATATGAAAACTGCAGCTATTTTTGTACAGAACTACTATCGATCCTACGTTAAAGGAAAGAATCAACGGCAGAAATATCTGACGATGAGGAATTCGGCTCTTGTTATTCAGGCGTCTTACAGAGGCATGAAGGAACGACAGAAACTGAAAATCATGCATGTTTCAGCAGTTGTAATACAGTCTAGTTACCGCATGTACGTACAACGTAGATATTACAAACGGTTGTGCTGGGCTGTCAGAGTTACACAGCAGAGGTTCAGAGCCAAAGTGGCAAAAGAAGCCGACATGGAAAACTATGCAAAAGTTAAAAAGGCCGTCGTTTGCCTTCAGTCCTCTTTTCGTGCTAAAAAGGCGAGGCAGTTGTACAAAGCCTATGTCGCTGCACGGCGCATACAGTCCTTCTTACGAATGTGCGTAGAGAGGAGACGTTTTCTTGAAAAGAAAGCAGCAGCG